AGAAGAGAAGAGAAGAGAAGAGAAGAGAAGAGAAGAGAAGAGAAGAGAAGAGAAGAGAACAATTATTTCATATTCATTGTCAGATTTATCCAAATATTGAGGAAAGCAATCTTCTAGTTTTAGTGTCTAATCAAATATAGTTTTAATTTTTAGAAGAACATTTGGAGAAAAATTTCAGCTCACAGAAAAAATTACTTTTACCTGAGGCAATTCTATCTTACTCTCTTGTTTGTGATTTGTTTTAACTGCATAGGAGTTCCATAACACATTTCTGCCATTTGCCATTTTGTCCTTTTTTTCCAGAGGTTTCAAATGGGAAGCTAGAACAATATCCCTGCAGATAGAATGGAAGAAGGTTCCAGAGATATTTCAGATGATATTTCAGCAACAGCAACTTGGTCTAATACAATGTTGCAGAGATGAAAAAGTTTAAAGCTACTAAACTATCATTTTTCTCTAATTATTAAAGATGCAGGAAAGTTTCAATTGTTTCATGCATCCTATATGAGCCCTGGCCTCTGAACTGTTAATGTATGGGAAAGGCAGCTCTGTCACATGAAACTTTGGATAACTTACTATAACATTAATACAGACTGCAACATGCAGGAGAAAAAGGATGTGGTAAAGAGAACACCTCTGCTTCCTCCAGTTCTAACTGGTAACTCTAACCTCTCTGTGTCAAGTTCTCCAATTGTTGCTTCTTTCCCTGATAAATAATGCAAAATAATAAGAGGGAGAGTGATTTAATTGTTAAAAGTTATTTGGCTCCCTTCTCTCAGGTATGCAAAAGTTAAAACTGGAGGTGATGGAAACTGCACTGTATTGCTAACACATATCATAGAAACGAATACCTCTTCAGTGTTGTAGTAAGTTTCCCGCATAAGATAGAAGGATTGGACAAGAAGGTCTCATAGGTCACTTTCCAATCTCTATGTTCCATAATTAACGTTTAAGATGCTATTTAGTGTGTAATACAATATATCACCAATATTCTACATGCAGTGAACTAGTAATCTTATGGGCCAACTATTACTCTCCAGTTTTAACACACTGCAGGTAGGCTACTATAAAATGAATACATTTCTCAGCACCAATAGAACAGCGGGAAGGCAGCTCAGACAATCACTGTTGGGACAAAAATAGAGATGTTACAAATATTGTGCTTTCATCCAGAAGAGTTCAGATTCTAAAAATAACCAGGCTTACAAATGCTCACATATAAACTGTGTTAAATTCAAAGGAAGTTGCCCTCATGGATAAATTAATGTCTCTATACATCTTTTGTATCAAATCAATAAAGGAATCAGTGAAAATCAAGAAACCTGAATTCTTCGTAAGATGACACTTTCTGATGCACTGCTCGGAACTTAGCCTCATTTTCTCTCTGGTATTTCTCATCAGTGGCAATAGCTTCTTCCAACTCTTTCTCTAAAGCATGGAAATCTATCATGCCTTCCACTTTGGGAACCTAGGAACAACACAGCTGCCCAGTAATTATACATTTGATTTGAAAGACTAGGTTTCTTTCTCAAATAATCTCACAAGAAAATTCAATCAGCTTCTTATGATTATCCAAACATACCATTATTTAGTCCCACATCTGTAATGTGAAAATAAATGAGATAAAATGTTGCAGTAACTGCTTTCACTGACTATTCCAAATTAGCCATGCCTGCCTCTATCTTCCATTTCATTTGCTCTAATATATTAATACAGTCCCCATCCCCATTATTCTGTGGCCAGTGAATTCATTCAGTAAAAACAGCAAAGATCCTACTGTACTGGACAACTTTCGTCCAGTCTCCCACCGCCCCTTCTTGGGGAAGGTGGTTGAGAAAGTGGTGACTTCGCAGCTCCAAAGGGTCCTGGAGGAAACGGATTATCTGGACCCTTATCAGTCAAGTTTCAGACCCGGCCATGGAACGGAAATGGCATTGGTCGCACTTATGGATGATTTCTGGCGGGAGCGGGATGTTGGAAGCGTGACCATCCTTGCTCTCCTGGATCTCTCAGCAGCGTTCAATACCGTCGAC